TGAGCTGTTTAATGAAATAATTTAATTTATAAATGTTTATGTTCGGCCAACTTGATCACAAGATTTTTCGTTTAAAAATATTTACAACTTTAGGTAAAAATTTGTGGTTGATTAATTTGATTAATTATTTGGGCAAATAAATGCAAAAATTAGGCGTTTCAATCTCGGTAAAGGTGAAATATTTTATAAGAAATTTAATATTGGGCGAATAAAATTACACATATAATTTAATTATTTTGATTGATGGAATTGGATTGGCCATATATAGAAAAATTTGGCCACTTTTTTTTGTAATAGTTTGTTTCACTAATTTTGCCAATTTTGTTGTTTAATAATTTTTTGGGCAATTTTTTAATTGGGGGGAAAAATTGTGTTTTAGTGGGATTGAGATTAATTTTTTAATTTTTAATTTTAAGGTGATAAAATTTTGGATTTTTGGATTTATAAAAAATTTTTTAAAGCGCCCTGGGAGCACCATCTAAAGTCCCCGTTAAACGGGTCGGCGTTGGCCCCAGTTGTGGGACGCCACAACTGGGACGCGCCTGTTTTAAACACAAATAAAAGAGCCCTTTTTATATAAAATTTATTTAATATCAAAATGTGTGAAACAAAATTGGGGGGGGGAGGGGATGGAGAACCGGCCAAAGGTTCTCGAGACCAAAAACTTAAAACTAAAACTGAGATAACCGGGCCAGTTCTTCATCCCCTTAAATAAGAATAAAAAGGGGTGTGACAGCCGCAATCGGCAATTTTTATTTTAAAATCCGCAGACGCAATCCGCAACTCGCAATTTTTAGTTTAAAATCCGAAACGCAATCCGCAACTCGCAATTGCAAAAACCCCGCAATTTACGCAATCCGCAACTCGTAATCCACAATTGCGTGCAGCCCTGGTCACCCAAGTCCCTCAACTTCATAATATTCCTGTTGATCCCTCTTAATCCACTTAAATTCCCCTTTAAACCCCGATATACTCCTTAATTCAAGGGCGTAGCCAGGGGGTCGATTTCGAAGAGGGGGGGGGCTAACTTTGGGTATCGCCAAAATTTTGGCTTTACCTTGGCGTTTCAGACGCAAAATCCCCCGACATCCCTCATAATTCACTAAATCCCACGGTTATCCCTCTTAATCCTTTGATATCACTAATATCTCCTTAATCCACCCAAATCCTCTGAAATAATATATTTTATTGCTTTTCCAAACGGATAAATTCCCCAAAATTCTTTGAATTTCGCATAGATTTTTCGAAATTATAGGTAATTGTGCTGAACTTGGCTGTGATCGTGTCAAAATAATAAGTAAACCAAAAATTTGCCTTATGGGACCAAAAATTATCTTAAGTCTTGTTAATTTTTGGTCTTGAGTCTTGGGGTCAAGTCTTGGTCTTGGGGTCTAGTCATGATACTAAAAAAATTTAAAAAATTGAAAATTTTAGGTTAAAAGTTGAATTACTAAAGATTTAAAATTACTATTAAAATTACTCTTTGAATTTTTTAGGGCTTATTTGAAATTTAAACTTTTGTTAACAATCATTTTTACCTTTAGTTTTTTGGGTACTATCGGTTCATCGGAATTTTTAGTGCATTATTTGAAATTTAATCCAGCAAAGATAATCTATAAACACTGAAAGATTGAAGTTCATATTTCCCTATCAGCCATCCAAATCGACCTAAAATAAATGAAAACTGTTGTTAACAAACAATTTTTCTCGATAAATTTTTAGTAAAAGCCCTCGCCTTTTTCGCATCTAATAAATAATAATTTTAAGCAAATAAAGAGTAAAAAAAGGTATGAAGAATAAAATGTTCGCCAACACTAAAATTTTAACATTGATTATTTGAATGAAAATAAATTTTAAAGATGACTAAAAAATTTTTTCAGTAATTTCTCTTTTTTAAACTTCAATTGAAAAGTTAATTGAGCTAAGTTCATTTCAAGATGCATGGATAAGCTATAAATTTACAAGAATTCTAATGTAGTTACTTATAATTAAACGGGAACATGTAGATCCAAATTAATCAAAATGTGATTTTAAAAATTGTAAACTTATTAAAAATTTAAAATTACTAAGAATCAAAAACAATTACTAAAAATCATTAAAAAAAAGATGAAATAAATTATAAAATTTTAAGAGAATTATAAAATTTTAATTTATCTATTTATTTAAATACGGATTATTATAAATGATATTTATAAATATATACTTGGTATACAAATTTATTTATTTATTTATTTATTTATTTATTAACTTCGTAATAAATATTAAATTTAAAATTTAATCTAGCTATTTGCTAGATTAAGTTATTTTATAGGATGCACGGTTTAGCTATTTAGCCTAAAACGTTTTTTTTTCAAAACGCCGTAAAAGAGAAGTTTAATGGATTTGTATGATGAAAGATTAACAAAATATTATTAAGAAATGCACATATACTTAGCACTCAATATAAACTTTAGCACTCAAATATAAAAGAAATCCAAGTTTTAATTTGAGAATTTCTGGACGGCAGTAAAGAAAAAATTTTAAGTTTTCTAACATCGCTCTCACAATTTATTTAAAATATTTCTAAAATTGGGGGAATAAAAAACAATTAACCACAACTCGGAGTTCTATTGGTGTTCGTATTGGAGGTTTTGCTAGAAAAATCGGGTTTCGGAGGACAAGGTGCTATCTTAGTTGAGAAAGTTGAGAATAATAATACTAAATGACTATGTATTATCTATAAATATTTATTATGACTTTTATTTTTTAACATTTTATCTTTTATTTATTATAATTTTTAATAAAATAATAAATAAATTTATAAATAGTATATTATAATTTAAAAATAAATAAGTATATCTTCTTTGTAATAATTTTATTTGTATATTTATTGTGTAGTTGTGATTGGTTGCCATGCGTTTGTATTAATAGTTGATGCCATTCCCATTCCAAAAAGTAAATTTTGTGAAGTAACATTTAAAGAATTACTTGGAGAAACTCCTGTAGATGCAAAACAATTAGCTGTTAGTTGTTGTATTTGCTGTTGCATTACTTCATTCATTAAAGTACTTCGAGCAATTAAATGCGAAGTAGAATCTAATAATGATGATGATGAAGAAGATGGTAATGCTCCCATTGATGAAATATTAAAATTGAATGCAGAATTGGAAAAATTTGATATCTGAAAATTATTTTAAATTTATATTTGATAATTAAAATTAGAGGAAAATTAGATTTGAGGGCCCAGAATCCAATATGGCCGATAACTGATGGAAAAGTGTTTAATAGATCACTCGTTCCAAAAGATGTATGGGCTTCGTTACAAAATTTAAAGGATTTTAAATTCGCAAATTTAAAATTAGAGAATGTGAACAATGTGTTTATTCTATATTTTTTAGATTTTAGGTTTGGCAATAAATAAGTAAATCCCACCCACTGTTACTGTCCAAAAATCGTTTACTATATCTTATAAGCTGGGGTCTGACCTTGACTTATGTTTCCGAAACTACAAGGTTGGGTGTGTTGCAGAGATGTTTCGAAATTTCGATTTTCGATTTCGATTTTCGATTTTCGAGGTTTTTTTTCTTTCGATTTTCGATTTACGATTTTCGAAATTTAGTGATATTTTCGATTTCCGATTTTCGAATTTTTGAAAAAATTTGAATTTTTGGCTCCAAAACGGAGGATTTTTGGCTTATCGGCCATCATAAATTTAAAAAATTTTCGCCTGCGGCGCAGAGAAAGGAAGATTTGTGGCTTAAGGATTCTCCAAAATTCTCAAAATTTTTGCCTGCGGCGCAGAAAATGGACGAGTTTTGGCTTAAGGATCTTCCAAAATTCTCAAAATTTTCGCCTGCGGCGCAGAAAATGGACGAGTTTTGGCTTAAGGATCCTCCAAAATTCTCAAAATTTTTGCCTGCGGCGCTAATTTGAAGAAGCCCTGATCTATTAACAATATTATGCTTCGGCTCCGGTATATTGGAGGATTTGCTTGAATTAAGGTGCATTTGGAAGCCCCCTCCCCTATGCCAGAACCCTATGCCAGGTACCGCCCAACCCTAAAATAAATCGGCCTAGCTCTTTACTATATCAGGGGACTACTACTATATCCCCAATTCCTTAGAGTTCAAGCAAAAGTTCCAACTTAAACCTAACATAACAAAAAATAATTTTCCAATTTTTTTAATTAAAATTTTTTTTCGATTTTCGTTTTTCGATTTTCGTTTTTCGAGGTTATTTTTCTTTCGATTTTCGATTTCGAAGATTTTGAAAAATATTTTCGATTTCGATATTTTTGGATTTCTTTCGATTTTCGATTTCCGATTTTCGAAGATTTTTTTGTTTCGAAACATCTCTGGTGTGTTGTGCCAAATTGAGAAAATTATAAGGAAATTATTTAAAAAAGATAATTTTTAACTTTTGACGGAAAAACATAGTGAAAGACTACCACTGTAATCCATTATCATTTTTATTAGTTAAAATGACATACTCCAGGTTTTGCCGGATTAAAAAAGAGAGATTGTTGTGCAGTTTCTGCTACAGCATTTGATGATGATGCTTGGGCTAATTCTGAGTTTAATTGAATAGATTGGCCTGAATTTTGATTTCTATTAATTTGTTGTATTATAGTTCGTTGAGATGATGTTGAAGACGATTGACCACTTGTGCTGGCTGAAATCTATAATTAATATGTAATTTTAATACTAGAAAATCTTAATAATATTATCAAATCCTTGATTGAAAATACTCATTAAAAATGATAGATGATAGGACAAATATGTTATGAGCAAGGATAAATATTAGGCCAGATCTTTAAGCAAAACCTCTTTATTCATATTATTTGGGATAATATATGTATTACACTATTCTAAACTTCATGGATAGACACAATTCTGTATTGCGGCGCTTGAGTTTTTATTTGGGATCATTGGATATGAAGCAGCAATTGGATTCATTCCGTTCATCAATCCTTGATAACCTCCCGATTTAATCTCTAATACTTTTCCTAATTCAAATAAACATCAATTTATAACCTCCCTCTCTCGCTGTCTACGGTCAGAAACAGCTGAATCAATTGGCTGACAAAAATGAGGAAAATTTGAAGGTCTATCAGGGTTTGAATTAACCAAACGACCTTGACGAACCTTTTGAATCAAAGAAATTTAATTCATAATTATCTAAAAATAAGGTTACAGCAATTTTTGGAATTCTCCTCCCATCATTATAACGTTTAGCATGCATACAACCAACACATTTGTAATAAGCTGTTTCTATTCCACGTTTATCCTGATAGGAAGAGGAATAGCAAAATTCCTAGAAAATTTTTTAATCCTCAATGAATTTAAAATAACTAACAAATCTTTTTCCCGGCTGTAAAACACTCTCATATAAAACCATCCTTCTTTTATATTTTGTACATCCATAATTAACAGCGCCAAAGTCAATTGTTGGTGCCATTTAATTTGAAATTTATCTGAAGAAAATTTTTTTGAATAATTACTCCGAGTAATAAATTTTTTCGATAACTTTATGTATGGTATAATTAATAGAGATGATAATTATGGAGAGGGTAATTATAAAATAAGGAGCAGATAAACATTTAAAGTTATTTTTGAAAAGCCCATTAAAGAAATTTTAGAATGGTAAGTATTTTTAAACTTCTGGCTCGGGGGTAATTATTTGTGAATCGTAATTATTTGAGTGAATACGGTAAATATTTTGAGAATTTTATTTAAATATTTTAAATAGATTTTATTTTTATTCAGAAAATATAAACAAATTTTTAAAATTAAGCAAATGTTATCTAAATATAAATAGCTATATTAAAATAGCACAGCTAAAAACAAGACATGCTTAGAAATCTAAAAAACAAAATATTATGTTAATAATATTCAAAATAACTTATAAACAAGAATAAAAGGGATGATCTTTGTTTTCGTTAAGAAATTTTTAATAAATTTATTTACCATTTATGATCATGAGCCAGATATGTATATAAAAAGGTTTCTCTTAAAAATTATTGTGAAATGTAGGCACATCTAAGGAATTATGATTTTTACATGAGAGAGCCAAAAGAATGAAAACCAAAGTATATTGGGGATTATATTTAAAATGTTTGGACGTTTAAATCAGACATGCACGAAACGTTTCGTTTCGTTTCGTTGTTTCGTTATGTTTTTCACTGTTTCGTCTCGTTTCGTGACGAAACAGTTTTTAATTTGTTTCGTTTCGTTTTGTTAACGAAACACCTGTGTTTCGTTAACGAAACATTACCTATTTTTTTAGACCAAAATATTACTCAAAACTGAAAAAATTCCCATTCGGTGCTGAAAATTCGAAAAATTTTAGCCTGCGGCGCTGAAATTTGGATTTTAAGCGCCTACGGCGCATAATTTAGTATATTTTTTTAATTCCCCGTTTAGTTTTATGTTTTTTATTCAATTCTATGGCAATTAGGCATATAGAAGGGGGGAGCAACCTCTTAATGCCAATCAGGGGATGGCTCAAGAGATAATTTCGAGTCGGGCCGAAGGTGAGCCTGCCTTTATCGAATCGGGCCAGTACTAGTCTCCTTCGGGCCAAATATCTTAGGCCCGACTCGATCTTTCGGCCCGAGTCGGTACATTTTGGCAACCCTAATCATGAACGTTGTTATCAAGAAAAAAATCTGAGTTGAGAAATATCATTGGATTTGGCAGGAGCAATGGTGTTATAGGAAATTAGGAGGGAGCAAACGGGATATCGGTGGATTTGGAGGGTTTAAAAAATTAAAAAAATGTCGGGAATCAGAAACGGGTTTAGGGGATAGTAATTTCCGACAAAATTAATCCACGATTTTAGGAAATCAGGAAACGGGTCGGCAGGATCGCTGATAAGCACATTTGATCAACACAATTCGATTGGAGTCGATTAAGGCTGATATGCGGATTAGGAGGGTAAACGCAAAAATTTTCAGCATCCGACCACAGTTTAAGGTTCCACAAAGCTATGAAATCATATACATATAGGCCATAACTAGCCTATTAACGTGTTTAAAATCGAATAATTAAGAAAATAAAGCCGATTTTATTAAATTTTTTGAAAATTATAATGTTTCGTTTTGTTTCGTTTCGTTTCGCTAAATTTTTATTGTTTCGTCTCGTTTCGTTAACGAAACGATTTTAAAAAAATTTTGTTTCGTTTCGTTTCGTCTGAAAAAAATTTGGAGTTTCGTGCATGTCTGGTTTAAATAAATTAAATAAGCTTTGCTTTTCCGGTTTTTTAAATTTATATGAACATTGTACATTTATTTTTACATAAATTTTAAGTTTTACATAAATTTTAAAAAAGATAATCTTGCTAAAAAATATACTTTTTTTAAAATAAAGAAGGTCGAAGAAAAAATTTTTTGAGTAAGACTTGAAAAACCGCTAAAAAATTTTTTTCCTAAATAAATTTCCGCCACTGTAGGAATGCAAAATTTTTTTCAGTGGTACTTAATTTACTAATTTTTGGATACCTTGGCCTAAACCGTGTGGCAAATGAAGTAATGGCTTTTTTCCTAATGTTCATCTTCTAATCTCCAATACAAAAAAAAGTTTTAACTGTTAAATTATCTTTATTAAATATATATATACAAGACCCGGCGGGCCGGATCCGGGTTTTATGACATTAACCGGACCAAATTTTCAAAATCAAAATCCGGGTTTCCTCAAAATACCTGGATTTCGGACTACCGGATCCAGAAAATCCGGACCCGGATCAGGTCCGGCTTTTAACTCTAATTTTTTAAAAAGACGTTTTACTCACTCAGTTTGACGATAATGTATCTTTATTAAATATTTAAAACATAAGTCTAAAAACGTCACCAAATATTATACTAAGATTAACAGTGCATTAAATAGTTCCGAAAATTAATAAAAATTACATGAAATACTAAGTAGAAATAAATATTTGCCAAATGCACTCTAATAAATTTTAAGATTTAATCCAGGTTTAATTTATGATTAATCACGTGTTTGTGAAAATTACATAAAAATTAAATATAAGTAGAAAAAGTTTTTTAGGGTTTTTCTTATTTTTTGCGAACTAGTTATGAGATAAGCACAAAAACACTGTTTTGGGTCGAAATTATCAGTCTGCCTTGGACCTATTCAAACCTAAATGACCTATTTCGGCCTTTTTGGAACTGAAACCTATTTGCAATCTATTTCTGCCTTTTTTGGACCTATTTTAGGTTTTTTGAACAAAATCTTATAAATCATCCTTATTTTTGCAAAATTGGCAAAATGATTTTAAAAAAGTGAATGTTAGAATGTTAAAAATATTTTTTAACTAAATCTATTCTTTTTAAATAGTATTTTTTATTTTATCTTCGCTGATATTTATTTTATTTTTAAGCAATTCTTTCACAATTTTCGATTTACAATTTTAGAATTATTTTAGTTTTCGCAAAAGTATTTTAGAAAATGTGAAAAATTAATAACATTAAGTCTGCACTAATAAAGGATGGATTTCGACCTTTCCAAAAGGCACTTATTCAAGCAATGGCAAAATAGTACATCATTACGACATTTCCTAGACCTTGGCCTAAACCGTGTGGCAAATGAAGTAATGGGTTTTTTCCTAATGTTTATCTTCTAATCTCCAATACAAAAAAGTTTTAACTGTTAAATTATTTGTCAATACTATCCTTAGGTTTTTACAAAGGCCCCGTCTCGGATTAGCAAATACAAGGAATTATTTTTGTTGATAATTTTAATGCTATCAAGCATTATTAAATCGTATTATTTTACATTAAATCGTATTATTTTTAAAGATAAATTTACAAAGGTTATCGAAGCTTTTGATCCTGAGGATGCCGCTTGTATACGAAAATTAAGGGAGCTGTTTAACAATCCTAAAATTCCCTAACAACTAGAGAACTAGAGTATATTAAATCGAATTTTACAATAATTTCAAAATACATTATTAGTTCGAATGAAATGGTTTAGCGTAATTTTTTTAATGCCTTAATTTTTAACTGAACAATGGCTACTACTTAATGTAAAAATTTTTTCCCAATTTTGCGTTCTTGCGTTTTGCGTCTTGCGTCTTGCGTTAGATTTTGGCCTTGCGTTGCATTTTTTGAGATTCCCTGCTCGGAATCTCAAAAGAGAGAGAGATTCCCTGCTCGGAATCCCAACCCTGCTCGGACGTATTTTAATTTAAACTCTAATTTTCTCGAATTATTTTCAATTTATAAAAAAACTATGGTTTGACTCCGACTATGGTTTGATTCCGACTTCTTAAACTATGGTTTGGCTCCGACCTCTTCTAACCCCACTAATTTAAATCTCGACTGGCCCTGCCCCGAAATCCCCTGACACGACCAATCTCTCTACCTGCTAACCCTGACCCCGATCGATTTTACCAAACCCGACCACGAACTCCTTAACCCCGATAAAAGCTTTGACTAAAAATAAAAATCAACTGGTTGGCTGCATCGGATTTAGAAAAAATAAATGTTTACTAAAAGCAAAAACAAATAATATTATGCCAATAACTTTTGGCTTTTTTTGCTCTCCACGTCACACTTTTTCTCTTTTTAACTGCTCAATCTAAAAAAATTAATCCCCTATTTCCGATGCTCCATCTCAAAAATTAAATAAATACAGTAATGTATTTAAAGCTTTTTAATCTGTTGATTTTTAGAGTATTAAATTAATAAATAAATTTGTAAACAAAATTAGAGAAAAACTAAAAATTATTTTCTAAATATACATTTATATCTTTCGGCTTATTAAATAAAATTTAGCCATACAGAACATTTTATTTTTTAAAAATTTAGTTGAAACAAAAAATATCCCCGATATATCCAACCTCTGATATCATTCCAAATTTTTTGATTTTCTTATTAATCATCGGTCTTCTGGCACTCTTATTCTCACCTTTTAATCTTTTCAAATCAACGAAAGTGCATAAAATTCACATTTCGACGCATCATGCAAAATTTTTTCTTTTTCTCCTTTAAATTACCTACACTAAAGCCTCAATTTTCTCACGTTTTCAGCGCAGAAAGCAAAAATTTTGAGAATTTTGGGGAACCAAGAGGCCAGATTTCTTCCTTTACTCACCGGCGGAGATGAATTTTGGACAAAAGGATTAAGGGAATAATGTAAAAAATTAAATAGGTAGTTTAATGAGGTATAGTTTAATAAGGTGTTTCGTTATTTATTTTCTTCCTTTTTTCGTTTCATGTTTCGTAAATAATTGCAAATTTTGTACCAAAATAATTAAAATAATTTTTTTCGTATCTATAAGTCAATAAAAAAATTTGCCGGAGGCATCGAAATGTGAATTTTATGCACCTTGTTAATTTTGGGAGTTTCGGAGGTTTGGCAGAATTTATTGGGATAGGAAGTGGTGAGAATATGGATAGAAGACCGAAGATTAATGAGGAAATCAAGAATTTGGAGGGATAAATAAACCACTTTTATTGTTTGAAGTTTTAAGCTACTACATCCTTTTATCATCCTGATATTCTTCTTAACCCTTTCCTCACCTAATAATACTCTTATAATATTGCATAAATTAAAATAAAAATTAATATAGGGGTAGGACGGCAATTCTAAGATTAAATACTGTATAATTTACCTATTTATAAACACATAAAAGATTTCTAAATTAAGAATTTCATTTGTTGTTTTTTGCTTTTTAACCGTTAATTTTAATACTAAATAAAATATTTATAAATACTTTTAAATACGTATTTAAGTATTTAGATGTTTTTTTTTGTTAAAAATAAATAAAAATGCAACATTATCTTTGCGATTTCCTGTTTTTTCAGAAGAAAATTTTTGTTTTTATCTTTAAGAATAAATAAAATAAAAATATAAATACAGCTGTAATACAGGTGCTCGTTGACAAAAGTTTATTTTTAATTATTTTCAGTAAAAAAGTGATAAAATGGCATTTAAAATACTTGAGTAGAAAATATGAGACGGAAATTATTTTTTTGTTTTAAGATTTGCTGCACAATTTTTAAAAAACCAAATTTTTAGGCAATTAATAAGCCAAATTACGCTTAAAACCTTCATAAATCTAAAAATGCCAGAAGGAATTTTTTGACTAAACTAATAATCCAAAATTCTCTTGAAAATGGAAAAAATGCTCAAAAAATGCTTCTAGAGGAGAAAGAAAACAACAAGCATATGCGAAAATTTGGCGAAAGACAGGGGGGCAAAATGATACACAACTGAAATCGGCTGTAGTATAGTATACAGGAGGCAAAATTTTGATATAAAACACATACCATTCGATTCGTCTCGGCGAGCGGAGTCGAGTGGTACCACTCTCTATTCACGGAAATGCCTGTGAACCGAGATATAGGTCCCCGAAAATCGAAAAACCAAAGGGGGAGTAAGCACATTTTTGGGGTGAAAAATTCAAAAATGCAAATTATACCTCATTCGAAAGAGCTCGTCGAGCTGAGTCGAATGACACCAAAATCAACGAAATCCGAGATGATTGGACAAAGTTATGATCTTTTCTTTTAGCTCCTTACCTATGGCATCTGTGGAGATTTTTGCTGCTACGGAGGCCCCAAATACGTCCAGAGCAAGGGAGATAGGAATAGGTTTATGTTACGAGCCCAGACCCAGTGCCCGTAGAGTCCCCGCAAGGCGCGTGCCGCAAAACACCGCGCGAAGCGCGGTGTTTTGCACAAACGCCTCGCCGACGCCACATAGGTTTAGGTTTTTTGTTTGTTGTGTCATAACTTTGTCTAATCTTGTTCAATCACGATGATTTTTGTGTCATTCGATTCAGCTCGTCGAGCTCTTTCGAATGAGCTATTATTTGTAAGAAAAATTAGACACTCCAAGTCCATTCTCTATTTGATAACAAAATTTCTGTCTAACTTTATAGAAGTAAGATTTCATAAAACCATTAAAATACTGTATTTATTTCTAACATAATTAACCTAACACTAAAAAATTTTTTTATTTAGTTTGGAGCTAATTTATTAGCTCGTTACAGATTTGGCATGAAGTGAAATTTAAAAATAAAAAATGTTATTTTTAGAAAATAAATTTACATTTATTTAATGACTATTTCACATTAATGTATTTTTTAAAATTATTATACAAAATCTGGAAGGAAAATTACTGGGGAATTAGTAAATATTTCATCTATCCCTTTTTTTACTTCTTTTAGGGAATCCCCTACATTTTTTTATTTATGTAAAGGCTATATTTTTAAAAATGCTTTCACGTGAATTACATCTGACTTTTTGTACTTAATAAACCAAAAGTTTAATTCAAAGTAAATATTTTAAATTTTTGTCGTAATTAATAGTAAGATTGGATGGAGAACAATATGGTAGTAATAACTTTCCGCGTGCCCGCATATCATTGTCTACAGCTCGATTTTTATAAGTTTCAACATTATAAGGTACAAAGATTAACAATAATCAAATCTTAAGGATTTTCAGTTTGCCAAGAATAGATAATTTCATTTTCTTAGCGACGCAGGCGAAAATCTTAAAAGTCTATCTTGATGAAGCATAAACAATTCACTTATTCAGCGCTGCATGCAAAAATTTGAGAATTTCGGAAGGCCAAGAAACCTAATTTGTTTATTTCATGGAAAAATTAACATCCAAATATCGGAATACTTTAAGACCTAATATCAAAAAATAAATCGGGTTTGACTCAATTAGATTCAGATATAACACAAAACTAGCACATCCTCCCTAATTTATTGAAGCAATAAATACTCAGGGTAATTATTTCAGCATTTATGTTAGGTTAATTTTGGGAATGTTAAATTTAATTTGAGAAAAATAAAATAATTTTAAATAAATTAAATAAATGTTATTTTTTAATTAAAATTTTGTTGCATTAATTGTTGTATTGCTTGTTGAGGATTCTTCATAATTTCAGCGAATGCTTCACTAGGAGTTTGAGTTATATTTGTTGTGGGTCGTGCAGCTTTTTTTTTGTTTTGTTCATAATTTTTTAAAACTCTAAAAATTGAACAAAATTAATTTTAAAATTAAATTATTTTGTAGATAATACTTTGTCCCAAAAATTTTTTTAAATTATTTAAGGTATATCAGTTGCTTATCTAAGCAAAGGTAATGAATTTTCCCACTCATTTCACTATCTTTGTTATTCCATTGAATGATTGACTGATTTCTATTGAAACATCCTATTCACATGTTCACTACATCAAAATTATGTAAAGTTATTAGCTAGAGACTTGCTAAACATCCCCACAAGCTAGTGTTTGGACAACCAAAATTCTTAGGGAAAATAATGGCAATATGTATCTAAGTTTATTTAACAGAATGTTCCAAACACTTCTATATTCCTATTTAACTATAAAACCTAACCTTCTAGCAAATACTTCTCTTTCTGATGGCCAATCACAATCATTTCCTTGATATATTGGTTTTGGGGAATTCCAAAATAATTTTCCTCCAAATCCTTTTTCTATATAAAAATATTTTTAATCTTTTAAAATTATTTTCTACCTTTTAAAAAGTCCATAACTTCTTTGTTATATTTTTTAAAGAAAAGCATTGCATCTCTTGCATAAACCGTCAAGGATAATTTACTGGCATCTTTAAAATAGGAGTATGAAATTAATTTTATAACCATATTATATCTTGAGCCTTTTAAATCTTTGCTTAATTTAATAGTGAAACTTGTGACGCAAAATTTCCAAGGACCTTCGGTTTCTTATTTATCATTTCTAATTTTGCACTAAGTGTTTCCCTGATTCATTCCTACGCTCTTTAATGCGCCAAAGTTGGAACTTTAGGAGATATTGAAATTCTGTTGAGGAACATTCATTCTTACGGAACTAGACTAACTTTTTGACTTTAATCCTGTCTTAATATAATTTTCTAAAATGCTATATGCCCGACTCCGTAAAAATCCATGTAACTCTTAGTTCAAGGCCTAAAGTCTCGCATGTCTCTATACATACCGTATTTTTTCTAAAATAGCCCCCCTCTGGAGGTCGATCGAAAAAAATAACCCCCGCGGGCTATTTTAGAGAAAATACGGTAATTTAATGAAAATAATCTAAACACCCACCAGTTACAACAATATATTGTATATCTATTTCGTTAACTTGTGTATCATTTCCAAATTTTGGTCCAATCTTGATTATATAAACTAGAAATAATAATTATAATTATTTTAATTATTTTCCGTATTTACTTATAATTAGTAGGGAACTGATTTATATGGATTTCCATATTTTTTTTCCTGGCCTAGTTGGGTCTTGAAACGTCCAAAAAACATAGTTTTAGCATATGTTGATAAAACCGATAATAGTCCATATAATCCTTTCCCTAATAATTACCCTCTCCCTATTAAATGCCCCCTCCAGTCGAAGGGTAAAAAATAACTACTAAGGGTAATTCTTTGAGTAAATAAGGTACTCTATAATTTTAAATTAATCCTTTACATTGTCGTGGATAAAAATATTCTTCAGTATACATCCAATACTTGCCAGTACCTACTTTATTTAAATCTCTTTTAAAAGTTTCTATTGGTCCATTTTTTGACACTGCACGATAAGCTTCCTTTTTAATTTTTTTTAATTGAATTTTTATTTACCTCAATAGAAAATCCATTTTCACCCATCACACTGTTTGGTTTAACTTTTAAAAAATATTTTTAATAAAAAAATTGTTTATTAATTACAATAGCTAACGGCACAATACATTTGCGGCCTGTTAATGTCAAAACTGACGGATGCTTTATAGACTTGAAACCTTTAAATTTCGTTAAAATAAATTAAAATATTTTTATGGTTAATTTTATAAATAAAATAAATTTATAGATTAATTTACAAAAGAATGGATCAGAGAAAAATTTGAAAATTGTCTTGGTAGTTGATATTGATATCGACCGATACTAATATACGACGGAAATGAATTGAAAAATAATAAAGTAACCTTCCCATTGAATACACCTATCCACAGTCCATATAATCCAAGCAATTAGCGAAAGGAAGGATCAATCGGTTGATCAAAAGATAGCAAGCCCTATATTATTGCCCGGTCGGAGTGAAATGTCGTTGCCTGTTTAATCTGAGGGTCTGAGCGGTGAATAATGTCCAGCCGGACTAACAACAATAATCAAAGTATTCCCTTCATATTCCGCTAATTCACTGGGTAGGGATGCAGGTTCGCTTATTATTTAGTTAATTAAAAAATCCAACCATTTGCCCATAATAAGGGCTGAAGGAACATCAACAGTTTCTGCTGGATTTTGAATCATTTGGCCGATACCACTAATAATTTCAGCAAAATTTTGAATATCCCACTAAATACATACATATTTAATTTGATAATTTATTTAAATAATTTACAGGATTTTCGCCAATAGCATTTACATTAATATTTACTATCAATAATGATAATATAAAATAAAATAAGAATTCTTGAAACATTTTAATATTCGATATTTTTATCTATATTTAAGATCTTTTTATAATTATGAATAAAAATCCATGAAAATCATAAAATAAATATAAATATATGTATGATAACATAAATAGAATTTCTCTATATTTTTATTCTAAATTTTAATTTTTAATAATATAGAGCGCAAAAAATTTATTGGCGAATTTATCCAAAATGATTGTTAAAAATACGGAAAAAAGACGTAAATGGTCATTCTCGGTTCTTTTTTGAATGGATAACCTCAATCCACTCAGTTGGCGATTTAAAGAGAACTTATACAAAATGGAAGGATTTATTAATGGATTTCTCCCTTTCTAGATTGATTCTTTTTTTGTATTCAATGTATGGAGAGATATATAAAATTTAATTGTGAAGGATGAAATTTATTTTAGCAAATTTTGGGCTGAATAAAATAAAAAGAGAAATTAATTATTTATAAAATAGTAATAGAATTTTCTTTAAAAAATTTAGAAAAAAATTTAAAAAATTTTCTGGGCCTTTCAAAATTGTCGTTTCGGGGAGAATGTCATGTTGTGGTATGTACAAATCAACGATAAATTCTCCCAAAATCCGCCCAGTTCTTTTTTGTAACAGCTCTTTTTCGTTGCATCAGAAGAGTCTGTATCATCCTAATCCTACACGTCTGTATCTTCCTATGAAATTTTTTCTTAAAAATTCGATTCGGCTATATTGTAGCAAATTTCAATGGCTTTCGAAAGAGCCTAAAATTAAAATTTATAATCATCCTTAAGGTGTCGAAAATATTTTTAAAGAGATCTAACTGTGTTTTACGTTGATTATAGATGTCTTCGAGTTGTCCGGATCTCGACACGAGTAGAGATATGGCCCTAATTTTTTTATTTGTTGTTGTTTTAATTTTTTGTTGTTGTTTTAAACAATTTAATATCTTTTTATCAGTTTAATCTAAATAAATATTTATTTATCTAAATAGATATTTATTTATTTTGTTTGACTTTGACCCCCATATCTACATACATAGTATTAATAAAAACATCCATTACATTATTTTTTATTTAAAATTATGTTGCCCAAACATGTTTTTATCGATCATTTATAAAATAAAATATTTACATATTTGTACTTTATTAGTAATTAATTAATTAATTATTTGTTTTTCCTCTTTCTTTCCACGTGCCAAATCGGCATACGATACATAAAGAGAAAATGGACGCCACTCCTTGCAAAAAAAATGCAAGAAAAGAAAGGAAAAATGCGCATTCTCTTTGCGGACATGTAGGACACCAACCGGACATTTACCTTCTTGACTTATGCCGCATTAGTTGAGCTATTTTTACTTGATATTTTTTACTATTAATACCGTATATGCTCGAATAATTACCCTGGGTAATCATTGTTTCGACCTCTCGCTGAAGGGGGTAATTAATCGAGAGGATGGGCTAAATTTGGGGTATTTATATCTCAATAAATCGCGGAGGAAATCCATTTATTTTTTGATATTGATTCTTATAATGTTTCAATAATTAAAATTGACAATGATTCTTTCAATATTTTTAAAATTAAAGAATGAAAGGGAGGGGGTAATTATTTGAGAGAGGTTAATTATTTGAGCATTTACGTTAAGTGAATATTGTTAATATTGTTTAAAAATTTAAAATCTTGTTTAAATATTGTTAATTATTTTATTGTTTTTAATTATTTTTAAATATTTTTATAACTATTGCTTAAAAATTTCTATTTAATCCAAATAATGACTAAAAGCCGTTCTCGTTCCCTAATTAAAAACATTCAAATCTGAATGTGTCAGTGCCAAAATTATTTGTTGAGTATGCACTTTAACTCGTGTCCGAATTAGCCATACCTTTCCTTTATTAAATAACGTCACATTATTTGACAATAAATTACCAAATGATTTAATTTAAAGTCATCGTGTTTTTAAGTCGTGCATAATAAAGACATGCACTCAATTTCGGTAGCATTTTTTAAATATTTTAATTTAAAAACATCTCCTAATTATCTTTATTTTTGCTTATTAAATATTTTAAATTTACAATTAATTCTCTAATACTCTATTTAAATTAATACCCCTCTTAATATTAAATAGCGAATTGCATGAGAAATTTGCTCTAGTAAAAATTGAAAAAATGTGCAGATGCTATCATTACAACTAGAATATTCTCCCATTCATTTTGGGTACATTTATTGATATTTCTAAATATTTTTTCCTTCCATTTATTTTTACTTTTTTGTTAAATTTTGTCTGCATCGATCTGGTACTTTTATCAATAAATTTTGTAAAATAAAATTTTTGTTATAAAATATTTTACACTGCCTATATCCCATTTTCTAAGTAAAACATAATTATTTTTAAAGTTCATTAAAGGAATATATTTGTAAAAATGCGCCGAATACTTAATTCAACAAAACTAAGAACCTCTTCATCTGTTAATACTTTATCAACTCTTTTTATTATCCGTAATCAAAGCAGAGTTGCTTCTTCTCCATTACAAATAAAAAATGACAGAAATAATTCTTTAAAAATACAAAAATTTCCTATTAAAAATAATAATATTAATATAAGGGAAATAAATTCTGATTGTTTTTCTGATAGGTAAATTAAATAATTATAACGATAAATTTATTATATTCTCGGTTTAAGGCATAATGGCCCTTGTGGTAAGTTGAACCTAAAAATATTTTTTATTCAAATTAATTTTCAAAATACATATACATTCTAGAGTTGGAAAAACAGCAAATGCTTCGTTATCTTGGGTTTAAGGCAATTATTTAATTTTATAAAATAAAGTCGGACCTCACTTGTGTATGTAAAAAAATACATAAATGGGGACCACATACATAAAATTCCCCATCCGTGAATGATGAAACGAACTAAATAGAGATAACTTAGCCAGTTCTTCCCCCCCCCCCCTTCTCTCTCTCTCTCTCTCCCTTCCTCAAGTCCATTTTTAAAGATTTACACAATTATCTACAAATGGAATAAGTTATAGATAATGTAAATGTCCCGGGTGAAGCTCGGGGTTGACTCGCCAAATTCAATGGTTGCACTTTATATCATAATTTTTCAAAACGTGTTCAATCGTACTATGTTTACACACGCTCAATTGTGTGTAAACTCAGTTGAGGTCCGATTATAATTCTTAGTAAAATTTTTATATTAGATTTTTGTAATTTAAACATATTTTTAAAAAAGGATTTGGATGAGTTAACCAACACAAATGTGCCAGAAAGTATTCGTTTACGTCAAAAATTGGGAAAACAAATACCCGAGGAGGGCGTAGACGAATCTAAAATGTTAAACGAATTAAGAGAAATTGCTTCATTAAATAATCCTTACAAAACTTTTATTGGTAAATTTAAATTAATTAATCAAAAAGATTAAAATTATAGAAATTTTAATTTATGACAAATTTTTATCAGTGTCTTAGATTTTCCTTTCGGTAGGGGGTTAATTGCCAAAAATCAACTAACTTATTTTAGCGGGGTTTTTCTTATGTTACGACCTCCTGCCGCTTGTTATAGGTTAAATAACTGAACTACGAGCGCTCTTAAGATTCAGGCCTGAACTATTCTGTTTTTGTATATTTTTAATTAAAAATTATTAAGTGAATAATTTTAAAAATAATTTATTACTCATTTTATTTTAATTTTATTAATTTTAGGTATGGGATATTATGGTATGTTATTATTTGATATATTCATTTATCAAAAATTTATTGAAAAATAATTTTAAAGATTGTATCGTCCCATCAGTAATTGTTAAAAATATGTTACAAAATGCTGGATGGTGATTAATTATTTAAATTTTAAAAATTTTTAAAAATAATCGGTATCTTCTTTCCCCATGTCTAGGGTTGGCTGTTCCTTGAAAATCACAGGATATGTATCAGGAACCTACTCGAAAATTTTCTAATATCCCACATTTTTCGTTTTCGGATATCTTTAACCGCCAAACTTCCTACATCAACTATCAAACAAGATTAAATTTAGTTTACATTATTAATACAGAACAGTCTTTGTTTTTTAGATGCTTTATTAGCTTGTAACTTTATTATGAAAATTTGGGATTTCCTAGTTAAAAAAATTTATTAAATTTTTATTTATTTTTACTTTCTTAATTTCTAGGACTTCTCCATATACTCCTTATCAACCAGAAATAGCACAGGGACGCTTAGAAAGTCTTTTAAATTTCCAGACTATGATATCTGATTTAACTGGTTTACCCTTTGCAAATGCTTCAGTTAATTAAATTTAAAATTTAATTTCTTTGTAAATTTTAATTAAAGCTGTTAGATGAAAGTACTGCTTGTGCTGAGGCTATTGCTTTAGCTGTTCGTGTAACTAAAAGGAGAAGTTTGTTTTTACTTCAAGAAATTATTAAATTTTATTTTCAAGAAACAACAATGCATAAAATAGAAATATGAAACATTAAAAAATTTTTTTGTCAAAAGTTAAAAATTACAAGAAAAATTAAAAAACCCTAGAAAAATCAGACGAATATAAGCATTTGTTCAGATACTTACGGTCAAGACACTGGGGCCAACATTTAGCCAAAATTTTAAAATCTTAAATAAATCCAAGAAAGATACAAGGCATATTTGATCGGTTATATGCTGATACGGCTTTACTGAAATTTCGTTCCTTGGAATTTTATTTGTTTTTTGCGTGTGTACTTAAAACGTGATTTTAATTTGAAAAAATCATAAAATTCGATTTTCAGTATGTGATTTTCTTATAATTATCAGTACTTGGAAATCTTAGGATATCCGGAACTTAAGCGAAGATCCAAACAGAAAAATCTTCATATTTCGATTTTTCGATAACCTACTCTTAATAAATTTATTTACAGCAATCCTTTATGACACTGGATTACATCCACAGAATATTGGTGTAATGGCTACACGTTCAGAACCAATGGATATTAATTTTAAACCATTGGATATTAATGAAAGAAGTGTTAATAACAAGTTTGGAGATAATATTGCCGCAATTATTTTACAATATCCCAACACAGAAGGGTTAATTTATGAAGATTTGGATTTATTAATTCAATATGCACATAAAGAAAAGGTGAATAGATAAGTTCGAAAAAATTATTAGAGTCACACTGAAAACTTGCGGTTTCGAGTTTTTTGAGAATTAAACAAATTATGTTAAATAGTACATTCATAAAAAGGGGACATATTATTAAAGAGGCAAATACAAAGGTCCGGCCAGATTAGATGTAATAATTCTTATAATTAAATAATAAACATATGGTTTAGGATTTATCCGGGGCATTATTATGTCAAGAATAAGGTAAAAAGTGAATAACACAAATAATAGATATGGGTCGGGAATGTTGATAAATTGAGGGTGTCAGAATTCCTTTTCACATAGGAAAAGCAGGAATTTACTATTCCTCATTCCGCCTCCGTTTCCGCTCTTTAAAATGTGTGAGGGTCCATCCCTGATGAAAAGGTAAAATGCACGTGAATAAGCACACACATCCTTCTATACTTATAAAAATCTTCCAAATATATTAATTTTTAGATTCTCGTTATAATGGTTTGCGATTTACTTTCTCTTACACTTTTACGTTCTGCCGGAGATTTGGGTGCAGATATTGCAGTAGGTAGTGCTCAACGGTTTGGACTTCCTCTTGGTTATGGCGGGCCTCATGCTGGTTTCATGTCTGTTGCCAATTTAGCTTTGGCTAGACAAATGCCTGGAAGGATTGTTGGAGTTTCTAGGTGTTTTTGGAAATTATTTGAGCTGTTTTTTTCAAATTTATAGAGATCAACAGGGAAATATTGCTTATCGTCTAACTCTCCAAACTAGAGAACAGCATATCCGAAGAGATAAAGCAACCTCCAATATTTGCACTGCTCAAGCACTTCCTGCTAATATTTCTGCAATGTTTGTCTTTCTTAAATTGTTTAACGGAGAGATATTGGGAGAATTTTATGAAAAATTATTTTTGAATATTTAAGGTATGCAATCTATCATGGACCCAATCGTTTAGTTTATGTTGCCAAAAGGATACATAAAGCTACATCATTTCTTTCTCAAAGTAATTTGAAATTTGATTTTGTTCAGAATTTTTACTAATCTAATTAGGGTTGCCGGCCCAGTTTGGTTCGGTTTGATAGATCTAATCGGGCATCGAATTTTGTACCGAAAAGAGCTGTTTAGAAACAAATTAATCTATGGAACTCTGAATACCAAATCCGAAAAAGTTATCGAAATAGAAAATATTTTTAGAAATTTTCGAAATCGAAAACCGAATGATGATCAAACGAGAAAGTGAACAAACGTTGATAAACGACAGTGATACGATCACCTCGTGACCAATCAAGAATCCCCTTAGAAATTAATTGATTACTATCTGTTGATCAATTGAAAATTTTGATCAAAATAAACTATTCCCCTAACAACCTTACCTTGTTGTATAATAAAATTATGATGGATTCTTGATAAGTATCAAAATATAATATTTATCTCTAACCAATTAAAAATTAATTTTTTAAGCCTTAAAAGCTAATGGAATTCAAGTTGTCCACAAATGTTTTTTCGATACATTAAAAATCCTTCCATTAGATAAGCAATTATTTAATTTGAAATGCGAGGAAAAAAGAATAAATGTTAGAAATTATAAAGATGGTTATATTGGTATTTCTTTGGATGAAACAACTAAAAGTATTTAAAAAAATATTTTCTTAAAAATAATTTTTAAAAGTTGGTGATATTTGTGATATTCTTTATTTATTTGGAATTAATATTTGTGAGGTAAATTTAAAATTACTATAATCAGAGCTATGCAGCAGGGGTGTGCCGAAACAGATTTTAAAAAGCGAAAGACGAAAGTCGAAAAGGCGAAAGTCGATTTAAAAGGCTAAACACGAAAGGCTAAAGACGAAACACCAAAAAAGACGAAAATAAGACGAAAGGCGAAAGACGAAACAACTGTAATGAGGAAAAATCTCTAGATATCGGTTAAACTAAAGCTTTGGTTAATTACCTACTTTCAAATCTTCTATCAAATTCTCCAAATCTTGCGATTTCCTTCTTAACCACTAAATTATGGATATCAGAGGATTTAGAGTGATTAAGGAGGATATCAGAGGATGTGTATGGAAAAATTCAAATTTAAATTTTTATTTTTTCCTATCATTGGAAATCGACCATCGTTAATTGTGAATATAGTTAAAAGATTTTGGGAAATCCCAGGATATCCAAATCCGTTGTCCGAACAAGAATTTCGATATCCGGATCCGTAACCAAAATTTTTAATAAAATACTGAGGCTTACCCAAGTAGAGAAGTATCCCCTTTATCAGCGCCGCAGGCGAAAATTTTAAGAATTTTGAAGGTCCTTAAGTCAGATTTCTTCCTTTTGCGCCGCAATAGATACCACTATGCTTGAAAATAACCTGTATTAACTTTTTAAGCGCCGCAGGCGAAAATTTTGAAAATATAAGGTGTCTAAGGCACGGAAAATTTACTTTTTAAATTAAAAAAATAATTTTTTCATAGAAAAATTATAATTATTCTATTCATAATATGTAAATAAAAATCTTGTCCCTAAATTTGGTCCGAACCTAACAATAATAAAATGGTCGCTAGTCGAAGTCTAACAACTTACCACTCAACCATCAATCACTTTATTCAGTTACAAGAAAATTATACATATATTTATCCCCACTCGTCCTTAGTTTTTTTCTTTCTTTTCTTCTCCAAATTACCAACTTTTCCTCACATACCATCATTAGGGGTGTATAATATTTTCGCCTTTCGCCCAAAAAAGCGAAAGACGAAAGGTGAAAAGGCGAAAGTCTTTTTAAAAAGCGAAAGACGAAAGGCGAAAGACGAAACACCAAAAAAGACGAAAATAAGGCGAAAGACGAAAGACGAAACGGCACACCCCTGCTATGCAGTATTGTCTGGACTGGTACCCATGGGTTTTTTTTACAAACTGACCCTGGGACGCTTTTCAGATATGACCCAGTGCCGGACTTTCCCGGTCTGAGGCCTGCCCCTCCCCCACCCAAAACAGACTTTTTCAAAATATTTGCTTTACGGGCTATCGGGCATTGAAAACCCGACCTTGAAAGTGAATAGTTCTAATTACAATTAAATTAACTAACATTAAGAATTAAATTCATTTAGAAAGAAATTAAAAATAAATTAATGGAAACTTCAACACCCTTAATTGGTAATTCTCCACATTCTAGACATTCACCTTTCCTAACTGGACATGTATTTAATAGTTATCATAGTGAAACACAGATTATTAGGTGAATAATTTTTAATAATTTTATCAAATTTTAAAATTGAAAAGTTATTTCACAGACTTTTACTTTCTTTTCCACTCCTTCCTTACTTTATCAGTATGACCAGTATTTAAAAATTTAAAATATGCCCTTTGTACTACCATAAAAACATTATTAAAGACCCCAATTAACCCGGTTATTTAACCATATTGTCTAACAATAAGCATATTTATTATTGTACCTGTAAAGCCGTCGTCATAAGTTCACTTAATCCTATGGTGTCCCACTTTATTTTTTCTGTACTTGCGGACATGGCTACTAATTTTGGTACGAATTACTAATTATGGCAAAAAGCATAAACTTTTCCAAACTAAAAATATTTTTATTAATAATTTTAAATACCTAATTTATTTAAAGATATATGAAAAGACTTGAAAATAAAGATCTCTCACTCGTCCATTCAATGGTTAAAATAATTTTATTTTTAAATTAATTTTTGAAATTATAGATTCCCCTAGGTTCTTGTACTATGAAATTAAATGCAAGTTGTGAATTAATTCCTGTAAATTTTTTAAAACTTTATTTAAATTAAAAAAAATTATTTAAAGATAAGTTGGCCAGAATTAGCTAATATTCACCCTTTTGTACCTACAGAACAAGCAAAAGGATATTCTAAAGTATTTTGGAATTAATTAGTTTAATTGTTATTTTTGTTAGATTTTTAATGATTTGGAACGTTGGTTGTGTGAACTTACTGGTTATGATAAATTCTCTTTACAGCCAAATAGGTACTAGTAAATAATTATTTATAAAAATAACTTTCATGATGTGTCGATAATTTAAAATTTTTTTAAATTTAGTGAATTTAACTGAAAATATTTAAATTGAATAAGTTAAACTTTAGACTTCTGAAATGAGTTAAACCCTTGTTTTAAGGGACTTCTTTAGTAATTGTTTTAGTTTAAGATCTCGCCCCCTCCACCGTCCGTTTCCATTTTAAGTTATATTCGGAAAGCTCGTCGAGCCGGGTCCAATGAGTACTAGCTGGTGGAAAAACCTCCGAATGAGTCATTAGTTTAGGCGCTTTTTTACTATTCTCCGAACTAGTCAAATTTTTGGGCTTAAGAAGTTAGTAAGTCGAAGAGAGCGAAACTGAAATTATTTTTAGTCTACCCCAATCAACCTACATTTTTGATTTAAAAATTTTTTTAAAAGGAACTGTTCTTTGGGTACACCCCAACTTACCGCGAGCCCAACTCGTCGCAGAGCTATAACTTCGTTCAGAATTGTCGAATCCGGGGCACCCTGGTATAGTTCGATTCAGCTCGTCGAGACGCATCGAATCATACCAAGGCGTACCGGATTCGACAATTCTGAACGAAGTTATAGCTCTGCGGTAAGTTGGGCTCGCGGTAAGTTGGCTTGCTCTCCTGTTCTTTTATCAAACTTATTTCAAATATTTTAGCGGAGCTAATGGTGAATATGCGGGTATGTTGGCAATTCGTGGTTATTTCCATTCTAAAGGGGAAAGCCAAAGAAATGTAAATTTGTTTAGGAAAAAAGTTTTTTTAAATAAATTTATTAAAATTTAAAGATTTGTTTAATCCCTGTATCTGCTCATGGAACTAACCCAGCTACTGCACATATGGCTAATTTTAAAGTTGTTCCAGTTGAATCAGATAAACATGGAAATATTAATTTTAAAGATCTCTCTGCTAAAGTATAAAAATTAAGTTAAAATTAATATTATAAATATATTTAAGTGTGAACGTTTTTCTAATGAATTAGCATGTGCAATGATTACATATCCTGTAAGATTATTTTTTCAAAATTAATTTATCTTATGCCCCAATAAATTCCAAATTTATCATTTCAAAGATTAATTTTTTAAATTACCAACGAAATCAGCCTTTTTCAATTTACTTTTAAATAAACAGAGTAAAGCAGCTGGGCTATAGCTATTTCTCTCCTTTAGCTAGTGCAAAAGGTTATTCGGCGGCTGAGAGCGAGCCAGCATTTTCAGTAGATGTGTTAGCCATTACACCACGCCGCCTACTGCACAGCCTTAGGAATTAAATAGATAGTATATGCTTTACAACTAGAATTATAAAATTTTTAGAGCTGTTAGTATGGTAACCTCCAAATTCGTATCAATTTTTCCTAGCTTAATTTCACTTTAGTTTATATCGTCACTTTATATCGTCTCCCGAACATCACTAATATGTACATAGGTCCTAAATTCTCTGGTTAAATTTCTAATATTTTAAGTCAACTCATGGAGTTTTTGAATCACAAATTAAAGAAGTTTGTAATAAAATACACGAACATGGTTAAATTATTTAAATATAATTTTTGAAAAAAAATATTTTCAAAGGAGGTCAAGTTTATTTAGACGGTGCTAATTTTAATGCTCAAGCATGCCTTTGCAGACCTGGAGATTATGGAAGTGATATTTCCCATTTTAATTTACACAAAACTTTTTGTATACCTCATGGTGGTGGAGGACCAGGAATGGGACCAATTGGAGTGTATGTGTTGATATTATTAGGAAATAAATTAAGATCTCTGAAAACACTAATATGTATTAACTCTGAAAACACTAATTATTTTAGGAGGAAAATTTTACGTAAAAAATTTGAATTTATTTTATTTAATAATTTTGGACCCACATTTGACCTAATAATTAAATATTGAATGAGGACAGTTTTTTCTTAATAAATTTTGGGAGAAAAACTGATCCTAAGTTAATTTTGGGAACAAGGGTCTTTGGAACAAGACTCTTGTTCGAAAGACTTTCTTGGGGGTTTTATTTCATGGGCTCGTGGGTTTTCTTTCTCTTCGACTCGGGCCCACCTTGAGTCATAGAAATTTTCAGTCTTTAACACCTAGAATTTATCCACGAAATATTGCTAAGATTCCCTCCAAATCAAAAAAATCTTCCCATCAAATTCAAATAAATTATTTAAGTAAATCACATCTTGCACCTTTCCTGCCTGGACATCCAATAATACCACAAAATGGAGAACGATTTGATGGCGTTGTGAGCGGTGCACCTTGGGGAAGTGCCAGTATTTTGCCAATTACTTGGGCATATATTAGATTGTAAAACTATTTTTTTGATATTTATTTTTTAAACTCTTTTTTTAAAGAATGGGTATTTCTGGTCTAAAAACTGCCTCCCAAACAGCTATTCTTAATGCTATTTATATGGCAAAAAGATTAGAAAATGCTGGTTATCGAGTTGTTTATAGAGACGAACAAGGCTTAAACGCTCATGAATTTATTATAGACTGTAAACCTTTCAAGCATGTTGGTATTGAAGTAGATGATATAGCTAAACGTTTAATGGATTTTGGATTTCATGCACCAACAATGCATTGGCTAGATTTTTAAATTTATTATTAGAGAAGAAACTTAAAATATTCTGTAGGCCGATTCGTGATAGTTTAATGATCGAACCAACAGAGAGTGAGGACAAAGCAGAATTGGATCGGTACTGTGAGTCTTTAATTGCAATCAAACAAGAAATAGAGCAAATAGCTAAAGGACAACTACACGTTGATCTCTACAAAGTAGGGATGAAAATATTGAACTACTAATTTTTGTGATTCAGAATGCCCCACACACCCAAGCAGTTTTGATGGCCGACATTTGGGACAGACCTTACAGTCGAGAACAAGCTGGTTGGCCAAAGCCATGGTGTCTTACTCCAAGAAAGGTATGGCCATCCTGTGGAAGAATTGATGATTCTTTTGGTGATAGAAATTTAGTATGCATGTGTCCTTCAGTTGAAGAATTGGCACATCAATAAGATTTATGATTTTTGAATTTACTAATGTCCTATTTTTTCTTTTAAATAAATACGTTGAAGAAATGGGAAGAATCCACAGTTGTGGGTCACTAGGCTGCGCCACATAGTGCTGCCACTGAAAGCGGGGCCATTAGAGTTAAATAACCTCGACGATTTTTCTCAAACCCCAGTATAATAGTAAAGTTTAATGGGGACTCGAACGTTGGGTCTCCAGTTCCCGCAAGCGGGAACCGGAGACGCGTTCGAGCGTCCATTAAACATTACTATTATATGGAGGTCCTAGGCGGATTAGTTTCAGCTATAATTTTAGCAATTTCCAATTGTTGATTCCTATTTTGACATGTACTTTTCCACTGTTCTCTCATTATTTGTTCTCTAGCTTGTGCTTCTTCCCATGACAAAAAATTTAAACGACTTTTTTCATGATTATCCTTAATTTTATTATAGCGTTTTTTTGTGCTTCCTCGGGATCAAACAATTCTCTTTTATTTAAAGGGGTAAAAGTCGGTAAAATTTTTAAATCTTCATCCCAATATCCAGGTTCTCCTTTTGGTCCAGGTAATCCATTCTTTCCATTAATACCAGGGCTTCCTTTGTCTCCTTTAGGTCCAATCGGACCCCGAGGTCCTTGTAAGCCATCCAGTCCATCTTTCCCATTCAGTCCGGGCAATCCTTCTTTTCCTGGCCTTCCAGGTATTCCAATATCGCCTTTCTCGCCTTTAAGCCCTGGAGCAGCGTCCTGGCCCGATGCTCCTTATGATCCTCTCGGTCCAGTATAACCCATATCTCCTTTTTCTCCAGGTGCTCCCTTCATTCCTCTAGGTCCAGTATATCCCATGTCTCCCTTTTCTCCGGGTGCTCCAGGTCTTCCATCTGGGCCCGGTATACCTCGATCCCCTTTCAAATAATTATTTTTAATTTGTTGTTGAACTGGGAGACGATAATTTGGATCAATAGTAGGTGTTGTATACATTATTTTATTATGAATAGGTGTTGTTGTTGTACTTAATATTGGCTTTTTTGTGGTTAATATTGGACGATTTGTTGTCTTTATTGGTTTAATAGTTGGTGGAATTGGTGTTGTTGTAGTAGTCGTGGTAGTAGTACGTCTAAAATTTTGTTTTTTTGTAACTTGCCTTTTTTGAATAATTCTTTCTGTTGTATTTAATAATAATATATAAACGTCATTGTCCATTGGCCAAGCTTCATCGGGAACTCCTAACACATCTGAACTTTTTGTAATGTTCTCGGACGGCGCGAAAACATATTGTAATTCATTAATTTTAACTAATCCATTTACAGAATTATTTTTGTAAAATATTTCTGCTTGTACTGGGCCAAATGAATAATGTGTATAAATATAATCTTCAGATGGAGCGTTCCAAACAATAACCGAAAATAATTTTTCTTTATCTGTAAAAGAACCATTTATAGTATGAGCCTCAACAGATTTCGAGACTCCAAAACTGGTCTCGAATCTTTTGTTCATTAATGCACCCTCTCCTTCTTCCAGAAAATAATGTCTATCCATAACACATTGCTGTCCAAACCACGCATATTTTAAGTCATTATAAAATATTATTGACCATAACACTTCATTAATTCTTTTTAATTTTGTACTTTTATATAGATTCCAACAACTTTCAGGACTTAATGAAAAACTTTCTTTTTTAACTGGTAAATCTTCCCGATATAACAAAATAGAATTTGTACATTTAACTTGCTTCTCCATCCAACATCGGTAAGTCGGAAAATACCTTGGGACAAGTTTTGGCAAAAATAAAGTGACATTTTTAATTTCCATCTGATGAGTCAGCGATAAAGTACAGTCCTCGACCTCGATTAACATTTGCTCCTCTCCAATTGTTATAATTTTGAAAATTATTTCTATTATTAGAATATTGCTCTCGATTATAATTATTTTTTTGGTTCCAATTGCCACGAGTATTAAAATTTCCTCTCCAATTATTATAATTTCCCCGAAAGGTTGTGTTGTCATGCGATTATCAAATTTCTCCTTTAGTTCATTTACCTGCGCTTTTACAGCGTTAACTTCAAGTATAGCCTTTTCAGATAATTTATTTTGATATGACCTCATTCTATCCTCTTTCAAAGCATTTTGCACCTCCTCAATCTGTTTGGCTTGGTTAATAGTGTCTTCTAGTGTATCCGTTGTAATAAATGCCAATTTTTCCTTAATTTCCAATTTAATTCCATTTTTGAAATAGTCTTTAGCAAGGTCATCTCTCCAATCTTTAATTCTCTGAGTTCTCGCCTCTTCCGTCTCAAGAACAACTTTTTTAAAGGAATTTTCTGGAAAAGCCTTGTTTATTAGACCGCGAATAACCTGCGCAAATTCAATTATAGATTCATTAGATTTTTGTTTTCTGTTAGTCAACATCCTACGCGCTGATTCTTTTGTATTTAATTTTTTCAATTTTATCGCCAAGGCGTCTGTCAATCCTTTCCACGTATTTTTAGAGTCCGCGCCCAAAGAATCATATATCGCGCGAGCTTCCTCCAACAGATATAAAGGTAATATTTGGGTGCAACGCGTCCCACTCCACTGATGTGCGGTGGCAATCTTATTGAATCTACGAAGGTAAGCCTCAAAATCCTCTATTCCCGAATAAAATTCTGGAAGAGGTAATCCTTCACGCATTCTGTTTATTCCAAGTTTGGCGATTTCCTTTTCAAGCGCCGCGAGCTTTTGTTGTAATTCCCGCTCATTTAATTGGCCTTTTCTTAAAGGCGTTTTCCCTTCTTCATCAGCAGTGTGCATGTCATCATCAGTTCCAACTTCCTCCTCCATTTTATATTTAATATTTTAAAAATAATTTAATATAATTTGTTTGAAGTATTCCAAATATGTATTTTCACTTTATTCAATAATTATAATTAATTCAATTAATAATTCGAAGCCTGTATTTAAATAAATTTAATTAAATAATTTTTATTTTATTATATGTTGTTAATTTTAAAATAAAATTTTTATGTTGTAACTGTTGTTCAAATAATGTGTTTCAATATAAGCTGTAGTTTAAAATATCTTTTATTTGTTGTTAAATACATGTTGGTGTTAGAATAATTAATTACATAAACAATTTAAAAATTAATCCAATAGTCACAGCCATAATAAATTCTAATCAAATCACTTTTTTTTAAATTAAAATTATTTTAGTTTTAATAAACTCGTGGTCCGACACCAGATAACTCCGGCCGTAGTTAAAAGGTGTAAGAGTCACGTTAATCTTTTATTTTTGTTGATCAACTAATTAATTTATTTTTTATTTCCATTTTATTTTTGGGCCCATATGATTTTTTGGTGTGATCTCCCTTTTTAGATTTTTAGATTTATTGGATGTTCTTTGGACTTATTTTATATTAAAATTTGTATTTTGTGTTATGTAATTCTGACTATTTATTTTAAATAATTCTGTTTTTGTATTTTGTTTTAAATTAATTTTGATTTTGTATTATAATTCACATTTTTGTGTTTTATTTTAATTATAATTTTTAAGTGGAATTTGAAGAGGTTGACTGTCCCACGGACTTAAAATGTGCCCAACGTTGTTTTGGACCAGTTGAATGGAATGAGCCAATTATTTGTTCAAAAACTCGGCCTGTAGTTACAACTGAGGCGGAAGATAAACAAGAAAAACAATTCTCACACTTCACTTTTATATAATTTACGCCCTCCTTGGTTTGATCCTGGTTTCCATCCTTATTTTGGCTTATTTTTTCTCAAAACCTCGTCCAATAATTCACGGACGTACCATTCCCAAAACAACTCCAACTACCAATAAAACCAATAACCTTAAACCCAAACCGATTTTTATATCGGCAGTATAACTCCTTAATAAAGCAAATATTTTGTTAATTTAAAAATTAATTTGTTGAGATTATGTGCTTGTTGATCATTCAATTGTTAAAATAATTAATTTTAATACAATAAATAAATTTGTTGATTTAAAAATATTAAAGCCTTGTGATTTAAAATAATCCCTTAAACAATCAACCAACCAATAAACGTAAATATTTTTTGCGTGGGAGTAATAAACACTTGTTTCAAGAAAGTAATAACATATCCAATGAAGTACAATCCCCAAAATTTAAAATTAAATCAAGACAGAAAATGTCTATATTATGAATAGAAACATTAAAAATTGTTGTAATAAAATAATTATTAATAAGTTGAGATTTATAAGTTGGAATAATAAATTTAATAGATCGAAATAAAATATTGTTGAGAGTTGAATCCAGTTAGCGATACGGTCATTCTAGGACCTCCATATAATAGTAAAGTTTAATGGGGACTCGAACGTTGGGTCTCAGGTTCCCGCAAGCGGGAACCGGAGACGCGTTCGAGCGTCTTTTTTTTAGGTTAAACCTCTACTTTTCTTTTAACAAAAATTTATTCTTTTGGGAGTATTTTGATTTTAAAAAAATATAAGAATGAAATGAAGAAATCGTGGATGAGGAAAAAAGTTTAGTGACAGCTGTTCTTTTTCCTATCACACCCAGGAACCACAAACAAGCACTGTAGAAGTTGTTGCAAAAACGGGAACAATGTTCAAATCCAATTTTTAAATTTACACGGCCAAATTAGTGACGCGCCCTAGTGGTTTTTTTTCTATAATTTAAGAAAAATTTTTTTCTATAATTTAAAAATACATTATATTTAAAAATAAATAAATCAAAAAATAATTTTCTTAAAATTACATTTTAGTTTCGGTCTTTTTTAATTATTTTCCTCTTTTAATTTAAAAATTTCATTAATTGATGGTATTCTAATAAGATTCTTGTCATTATTTTTATTTCTTTTCATTAAATATTTTACTTATTTGAGGCCATTTAATTAACTTTATATTTTTAATTTGTTTGGTATTTTGATTTAATATTTCATTGTTAATATTTTCATTATTTGATTTCTGAGTAAGCTGATTATAGCTTTGATCTAAAAATTAACATTTAATGTTTTCATTTATTTTAGAACCAAG